CAACTGATGGGCACTTAAATTGGCTCCATATCTTTGCAATTGTGAATTGTGCAGGTGTCTTTTTGATATAATGACTTCTTTTCCTTTTGGTAGATACCTAGTAGTGGGATTGTTGGATTGAATAGTAGAGCTAATTTTAGTTCTTTAATAAATCTCCATTCTGTTTTCCATAGACATTGTGCTACTTTGTACTAATTTACATTCCTACTAGCCATATATAAGCGTTCCATTTTCACCACATCCACATCAACATCTATTGTTTTTTGACTTTTTAAATGTCAGTAGCCTTTAACCTTGGCTGCAAACTAGCATCACCAGGGAACTTAAAAACAAAAACAAACTGATCCTCATGATTCTCAATTAAATTAACATTTCTGGTTACAGAGCCTAGATATTCGTCTATTTTAAAAGGATCCCCAGCTGATACTAAAGGGTAGACAGGGTTGAGATCTTCTAAGCTAAAATATACTGTCACCCTAACATATACTGAATACTCATAAACATCTGTATTTGGCCATCACCACCTCAAAATGTCAAAAAAAAAAAAACCTGCTAAATTGAAAAGCCACAGATTACAAAGACTTTTAATGCTTTCGTCCAGTTTTACTTTGACAAAGAAAAATATAGCCTTCATCTTTTTTAAGACTTCCAGGTAGCACAGAAGCAAAATCAAAGAGGGTAGGGGCAAAAAGGAAAGTGTGACAGAGGTATATCAAGATAGGAATGAAGAGAATAGCTGAAATTGGGGTGGAGTAATAAGCTCCTATCTACTGATGAGCCATCAGTAATATCAAAGGCACATTTGCAGAATGTTTCCTTTTCAGTAATTGTACAGACTCCCTTGTCATTACAAAGCACTTTTCTTCTTGGCAGATTGAAAAATGCTTTACCAACTAAATGCATCCCAGTAATATTCAGAGCGCAGGTCCAACATAATCATAAGTTGCCTTGTTATTACGGAGGTAGCAGCCCCATTTAATAACATATTAAATGCATTATTCATTTATGTAACTCAGACTCGAGGACAGCTGCCGGGATGAAAATAGAACCATTCTGTAATGCAAAAAGCAGGTGTGTGCTTACTTGAGTAAATGAACTCTGTATTACGACACAATTTTCTTCTAAATTTCAGGGACAGGTCTGGTAGGCTAATGCGATGCCATTTTCAAACAGGAAATAAAATGGTTTCAGAATGATTTTTAATGAGCATTTAAAAAAATTACCAACAGTCTTCTCTGTGGCAGAGTCCCAGGGGGATAGATTCGTGCTTTGGATTTAAGCAGAACTCTTGTTATTGCAGGATGCAGGAAAGTGTAAGGTAATGATTGATCAGAACAGTGACAAACAGAAGAATGTTCTCTAGCTGGTGATGCTAGTGGTGACGGTAAGCCAATGCTCCTCTAGCTGCTCACCAAGAGAGAGTCACAGATGTGCTTGGATGCTGAGTGATTAAAAGTCATAACCTGACTTCCGTTTGTGTAGAGCCTCCCCTCTGAAACCTGTAGGCAGTCTGTGATGCATGGTGAAACAAACTGAGATGCCACAATTAGCCTGGGTGGCATCACTGGTCATTTTTCTTGCTACATTGCTGGTACCAGGATGCTATCATTCTCCAGTGCCTGCATTTTGTTTTTTATTCCCTTCTTTCTCTCACCTGCCTTTATTTTCTCTTTTAATATATGTACACTCATAAGCAAAGGATTTCTTAAAAATTATCAGATGAGGCTGGGTGTGGTATCTCATGTCTTTAATCCCAGCACTTTGGGAAGCTGAGGTGGGCGGATTACTTGAAGCCAAGAGTTTGAGACCAGCCTGGCCAACATGGTGAAATGCCATATCTGCTAAAAATACAAAAATTAGCCATTTGTGGTGGCACACACCTCTAATCCCAGCTACTTAGGTGGCTGAGGCAAGAGAATTGCTTGAACCCACAAGGTGGAAGCCATAGTAAGCCAAGATAAAGCTGCCGTGAGCCAAGTAAAGCCTGGGTAACAGAGCGAGACTGTCTCAATAAAACAAAAAATCAGATGGAATGGTGTTCAAATTCCTTAGGCATAACAATGATCAACCATAATGGGCAGTGATCTTATTTCTGGAGCAGAGTTTTGGAGACCCCCTCATGTGCTGAGGTGTTAACCCATAGGTTGCTAAATTGTAAGAAGCAAGTACTCTAAGGAAGGGATCAGCATAGCTGGGTTCGTGAGTGAGATACTTGGATGTAATAACCAATTGCTATGCAGATAGCTTCACATTTGAACTGGTCTAGTTACCAGTATGGACCTTCTGATTACCAGCCTTATATATCTGAAACACAAGGAGGCCCTCAAGGAACTTGAAGTTCACACAGTCACACCAGGAAGAAAATCATACAAGGTACGAAGAATTCCTGTCAAGTAAATCATAAGGAGTCCTTCAAGGATTTAGAGGAAGGATAATCTTACTCCATTTAAAGCCACAGTATAGTGCAGTATTAAAGAGGAGGTGTGTTCTAGAGACAAATTGTCTCGGGTCCTGGCTGTTTGATCTTGAGAAAACTAGTTGGCACCTAGGAATCTCAATTCCTCCATCTGTTTATTGGGAATCATTACAGCATCTTCCTTATTATGGATATTTTTGAAGATAAATGAGTTAATGTATATAAAGAACTTAGCACAATAATTAGGACATAGTAAGCACTCTCTATGAAATTCCTGCCGTTTTACTGTTATATTCAGGGAAACTATGTTAGAGAAGACAGGAAATAAGCAGTACCTTAAAGGGTGGGTAAATTTTAGAGAGCTGATAGGGCATGCAGGGGAACATTGAAGCAGAAAGAGAGAGAAAAACAGAAGTACTCTAAAGAGGATTTAAAAGAGAATGGACATGGGCTTATGAGGAAGAAAGAGTTCAGGAGAATAGAATAAAATTAGCTAGTAGAGGCTGGGCATGGTGGCTCACACCTGTAATCCCAGCACTTTGGGAAGCCGAGGCAGGTGGATCACCTGAGGTTGGGAGTTTGAGAACAGCCTGACCAACATGGAGAAGCCCTATCACCACTAAAAATACAAAATTAGCCGGGCGTGGTGGCTCATGCCTATAATCCCAGCTACTCAGGATGCTGAGGCAGGAGAATCACTTGAACCCAGGAGGCAGAGGTTGTGGTGAGCTGAGATCGCACCATTGTACTCCAGCCTGGGCAACAAGTGAAACTCCATCTCAAAAAAAAAAAAAAAAAAAAAAAAAAAGAGGGCCTTATGCCCAGGATTACAGAATTTACAACTTACCCTAAGGTCATATGAAGTCCATGAAGGTTTTGAACAGAGAAGAGAAATAGTAATAATATTAAATAGAAATAATCAATATAATATTTTGTGAGCACTTGCTAAGTATTAGAATACTTTTAAGTACTCTGTGTACATTAACCCATTTAATTCTTACATTTAACATGTGAAATGATTTAAGCATTAATAATTGACATTGTAATGATCCATAGTGTTCAAAGCAGTTTTCTAGACAGGGTTTCCTTTGACCTCCCTGCAGAAGAAATGGCATTCGCTAGACTTAAATGCATTGGAAAACTATGTCAGTTTTGTAAATAAAGGTTTTCTGGAATTCAGGTGCATACATTCTTTTATGTGTTGTCTGTGTTCACTTTCATACAATAAGTGCAGAGTTAAGTAGTTGTGACGGAGTCTACATAGACTGCAAAACTGAAACATTACTATCTGGCTCTTCATACAAACATTTTTCTGATCTCTGGTCTAGAAGAGTGGAAAGTAAGCTTTGATTGCTTCTCATTTGGATTCTTTGATTGCTTCTCATTCTCATTTAGGCAAGTAAACTTGGGGAATCAAATATATACATATATAAAGTGGTTGCTCCAGACCCAACAGTATAAAATGATAATGGCTAGATAACACTGAACCTCAAAAATCTTAAAGGTTGTCTGGGCACCGTGGTACATGCCTGTAATCCCAGCACATTGGGAGACCGAGGTGGGTGGATCACAAATTAGACGTTCGAGAGCAGTCTGGCCAACATGGTGAAATCATGTCTCTACTAAAAATAATTTTTAAAAATTAACTGGGTGTGACAGCACACACCAGTAATCCTAGCTACTCAGGAGGTTGAGACGGGAGAACCGCTTGAACCTGGGAGGCGGAGGTTGCAGTGAGCCAAGATTCACCACTGTACTCCAGCCTAGGTGACAGAGTGAGACTCTGTTTCAAAAAAAAAAAAAAAAAAAAAAAAAAATATTTTAAAAAAAAAAAAAAAAAAAAAAGAAAAAAAAAATCTTAAAGCTTTGTCATCCTAAAATTGCAAATTTTAATTTACTATGAATCTGAATAATTATATAGGTTGATTTTGCAGAATAATTTTTTTTTCCTGTTAAAACTAAAAGAAATAAGCAAGAGAGATCAATCTACAAAAGCTGAAATCTCTTTAATGTGAGGTTTGATCGTTTAACCCATATAATCTCTCGTGAAATATTGAGTAGAAATATCAAATTTAGCCAGTGTTTTCTGTGCTATACCATTACTGTAGCAGTCTCTATGAAATCTATGAATGTTGAGTCATATATCTATCATAACCTATTCTTTCTCTGAATTATAAATTCCTTTGTAATATTTATTACTTATTCTAGTCCTTAATTATATGGCTTTTGAATTATCTCCTAGATTAGCTGTTTATGTCTCTCCAACTATCTTATAAACCTAGTGAGAGTAAGGGCTATATCTTCTATTTCTGTGTATTTCCCACAACTCCAAAATGAAGTGATTCATTAATTTAATAGATGCATAAAAGTCAACTAAAATGCTAGTAATAAATACAATGAGTGACCGTGATTATCTCTCTGTTGAGCGCTTTATATGAATTAACGCTACTCCTCATAGTAGCATGAAAGATGGTCAGGTGCTTACTCATGGTCCTCAGGGCTAGGCACTTTGTCTAATTTAAAAATGTGGGAATGATTCACATTATAATGAGCTGGTTTATGACTTGAGCTTTTTTCCATTTAGGTACAGGAAGGTGGTTTCCAATAATTGCACTGATGGAGTAAGGGAACAGTACACTGCCAAACCCCAGAAGTGCCCAGGGAAAGCCCCGCGGGGCCTGCGGATAGTCACAGCTGATGGAAAGCTAACAGCGGAACAAGGACACAACGTTACTCTCATGGTGCAGTTAGAAGAGGTAGGACTGCTTCCTATCTCCCCCCTACTTTCTAGGGCCAGTGATTTTTCTTAATAGACCACAGTTTAGCTTACGTAACTTTTTCAACTTTCTCAATTTTAGATGCTATTTAAAAATGTTTTTATTTTACTTCTGGTTTCTTAGTTTTTGTTATCACTTCACCTTCCTGATCTATTTCTTTAATTACTGACATTTCGCCACAAGTTGTTCTTCACTCATACTTAATCTCTTACTTTTGGAGAATCTGTTCCATTTAACCTTGTCTTACTGGCACTTTTAGCAAAATCCATTTTCTCAGAGTATATAAATAATATTCCTGAAATAATTTAATACACATGCATACTCAGCTAACCTAAGAGATGCGAATACTTTCATCCTCTCTCAGCCTGCAGGGTCTTCTTTTCCAAGGGCAACATGATGGTTGTTCATATAGCACTGAGGCCAATCTAAACATAATTAAGTGTAATTTCTTCGGCAGTTAAGAGTTTGCATTTTATAGCACCTCAGGCATATCATTAAAAACAAATTATTATTTGCCAGATTATGATTGTCTGAAATGTATATTTAGATGGTGGATAAGATGAAATTTATCTTACATGTTTTAGAATAGACACAGGAATTCTGTCATCTTGTAAATGAGGAAGATGGTCTCTAAAGGATAAATACTTAAATCATCTCAATTATTAAACCAAGCAGTCTTAACCTCAATCACATTTTCTGGGTACTTAATATATGGTTACCATTGTGTAAAGCCCTGTGAGTGTGAAGGGATTTTAAGGGCTAATGACACCAGGATTAAAATGTATAACATTGACTTCAACTTCCTCTGCTGATAGTTCAGTGACCCTCAGTTTTTACCATGTATAAGAAAATCACCTGGAGAACATGTGGAAACAGAGTTTTCTTGGCCACATCCTTAAAGATTCTGGTTCAGTAGGTTGGAGTAGGCCCCAAGAATATACATTTATAACAAGTTCACAGGTTGTGCATCATGCATCAAGAAAAACAAAAACAATGAAGGCTAGGGGCATAGAGAAGTTGGAGGCTCTGGAGTGTGACATGAAGGTGGAAAGATGAAGCGGTTATAATCTTTGTCAGGTTTGATGAAAATTTTTAGTATTTTAGTTCTCATAAGAAAAATAACTGAAACAATGAATTTGAAATTCCAGCTCAAATGCTGTGCATGTCCCTGGTCCAAGGGCCATTTACAGAACCACTGCTATAACCCAATATGCCTTTCCTGATTATCTCCTTAGTGAGTGCCTTCAATTATATCCAATAGTATTCGAAATACTAAGGTGCCCAAAAAGTCTTCAGTTAGAACTAGAAAGATACAGGCCAATTTAAGCAAATTGGAGTTGCTCACATTTCACATAAATAAATCTTTGGGGATTTCTGTTTGAGGCTATGAGAGATTAGCGTGCAGTAAACCAAATATTTGCATATATATTTAGAGCAAGTGAGACAGACAGAGAGAGGGAAGAAGAAAAATGAGGAGGAGGAAAAGGAGAACTAGGTGCTGAGAGAACTATGAAGAGGATTGAGATACTAAAACTCTTTTCGTAAGAGATGGGAAAATCACTGTGGTGAGTCCAACATTTTATGCTGTATTTTCCTTTCAAGAACTTTACCAATTCATGTGACATGCTATAGAAGAGGTATGGATTTCAGATTTCCAGTACAAGGCCAAGTAGAAAGTGTTGGCTAAACAGGTGTTAATAGATTCACAAGGCTTGGGAGATAAAAAATGGACTTTGGTGATATTCCAAAACTGGGACTGATGAGGTCATATCCCAGAGAGAAGGAAAGCACAGGGAAGCAGCACATATCCAGGACCTTTTTACTCCCTGAGGTATTTCATGATACTTAAGTAATACAGGAAATGAGTTTTTAGAAGTATTACCCTTTGGGGAGATAAAAATTTGAATTCAAGACCTATCAAGGAAGAGGACCCTGGTGAACGATCTTTAAGACTTGGTTTGTGGTACTTCTGGAAATCTCTATTGTAGGAGTAAAGGCAAACCTGAATTAGAACGGGCCCTGTGCACCCAGAAATACAATCTGAAATCACTTCAGTCTCTGAATCGCTTAAAGTGATTCTCTTCAATTCTGAAATGATTGTTAGAAACCAAAGTAAACCTTCTTTAGTGGAAAATAACATAAACCAGAGCTTTACCTATTATTTTTCATATAAAATGCTGGACATTTAAAAAAATTGAGGTATGTCAAGAAACAAGACCAAAGGGGAAAACAAACAAGAAAAGAACAACAGTTGCATGAAACAGTGTTTATTTAAGATATCCTGTAAAATAACAATTATTAATATGTTCATGAATGTAAGAAGATGTGGAAAATTGAACCCCAGAGCAATAATCAATAAGAAATACAAAATAGAAGTTGTAAAAATAAAGATATGATAACTGATATTAGAAACTTAGGTTTACAGCAGATTGAACACATGTGATAGAAGTTAAATGAAAGAAAGGACAGCAGGAAATATATTATCTGGAGCATAAAAGAAAGAAATAGAATATGGAGAAAAATAATAAGAGACAAGTGGAAAATGGTAAAAAGGTCTATCACAGCTGCAATTGTAGTCCCAGAAGGAGAAGAGAGAGATAAGGAGCCATAATCATTTTTGAAAGGATAAAGCCTGAGAATTTTCTAAGCCTGATGAAAGATATCATCATATTAACTCACAGATTTAACAGAATCAGCAAACTCAAGAAGAATATATGCAAAGAAAAATCACTTAGCTATTAACATTCGAACTGCTGAAGTCTAAAATCAAAAAGTGTTTAAAAAGCCCAGAAGAAAATGGAATGACATCTTTGAAGTGCTGCAGAAAACACAAATGGTTTGTTATATAAACAGTCATGGAGATATCCACACGGGAAATGTTCCCTTGTTCCCCTCGCTGGCATGTGATGGGGGTGTGGCTCCCTTCTTCAGTGCCCCACTGCTCAAACCTCTAGGGGAGCATGCAGGGCCAGGCTCTGGGGCTCCAACCCCACGCAGTGTCTGCACTCCAGCCTGGGTGACAGAGTGAGACTCCGTCTCACACACACACACACAAAAAGTTCTAACTTATATTAGACTCCAACATATCCAGAATGTGTGCTTCAGCATCTAGAGTAACAACTGAAAGAGTAGTAAGAGAATCTTATCATCAAGCTGCTGACAGGTAATTGCAGTAACTTTAAAAGGGTTTCATTAATCCAAAGTTAGGTAGGTAAAAGAGAAAAAAAGAACATACTACAGTTGAGACAAATAGAAAAAAAATATGAAATGGTAGATATAAGTGTGATGTGGAGAATCCCAACATTTTGGGAGGCCAAAGTGGGAGGATCATTTGAGTCCAGAAGTTTGAGAACAGCTTGGGCAAGTACCAAAAAAATAAAAATAGTTTTTAAAAAGTTGCCAGGCGTGGTGTCGTGTATCTGTGGTCCCAGCTACTTGGGAGGCTAAGGTGAGAAAATCGCTTGAGCCCAGGAGTTCAAAGCTACAGTGAACCATAATCACGCCACTGCACTCCAGCCTGGCTGACAGAGGGAGACCCTGTCTCAAACACATTAAAATTAAAATTTTTAAATGGTAGCTATATACTCAAGTATTATCAGTAATTACATCTTGAAAATTAGTGATTTTTGTCACTTCAGTGCTTTTTTTCAGGCTTAAGAAGTCTTTACCTAAACCAACATTGTGAAAAAAAGTCATACCCCAAGATTTCTCTTTAGGCTTCACATTGATATGCATGATTCATCTTGAATAGAACTGTTTCACGTTTCTATATTTCATCCATATTCATACCCAATTGTCCCAGTACTATTGAAAGCCTTTTCATTTCACACTGAATTGCTATGAGCCTTTGTATAAATCAATTGATTGTTTATGTGTGGCTCCATTTCTAGGCACTCTATTTTGTTCCCTTGGTGTGAATTTCAAACCTATGTTAATGACTAAGTTCAAACACATTATGTTTTCACTAGAATTAGGGTAAATCTTGATACCTGGACATATAAATCCTCAAAACAAGTAGAAGATTGTGTGTGTGCATAAAATTTATAATAGCATCAAAATACAATGAATATTTATAATCAAATCTAAAATCTTACTTTCAATAGTGCTACCCAGAAAACAACACATTTGGAAATAAATTTTGAGAAAAACCTAAATTAATGGAGGGATACACCCTGACCATGGATTGGAAGACTCAGTGTTATAAAAATACATCAGTTTTCTTCATATTTACTTGAATTCAAAGTAATCTGTATAAAATTCTACAGCATATTTTATGTATTAAAATTGATAATATGATAATATTTACACAAAATGTCAAGACCCGAAGAATAGCAAAGATAATTTTGAAGGTGACCCACAAACTTGGATGACTGACATTACCACATATATATATTACATACACAAGCTGAACAAGGAAGATAATGGAGAGTCAAGAAACATATGTATATATACATATGGGTATATTTTATATATACACAAACACACTATGACAAATGAGACGCTGCAGTACAGTGGATAAATTATAATCCTTTCAGTAAATGGATGCTACAGTGTTGAATATCCATATGGAAATAAATGAATTTTTACCTCACATAATATACAAACATAATTATAACTGGATTTTCCATCAAAATTTGAAAGCTAATACTAACATTTCTAAAAGAAAACACAGAAGAGTATCTTCATGACCTTGCATTATGCAAAGACTTTTTTAAAGCAGCAAACAAAACTCATTAAGTAAAAAGAAACTATACTAATACATTTCTTTATAATTATACTAACTTTATTTTATTATTTTTTGATATGGAGTCTACCTTTGTCAAGGTAGAGTCTACCTTTGTCAAGCTGGAGTGCAAGTGGCATGATCTGGGCTTACTGTAACATCTGCCTCCCAGGTTCAAGGGATTCTCTTGCCTCAGCCTCCCGAGTAACTGGGATTACAGGTGCCCACCACCACGCCAGCTAATTTTTGTATTTTT